ATTAGTGGTGCACGATAATTATCGGTCCGATATTAGGAATTATGACGTCATCCCGATAAACCCGATAAAAGTATTAATAGCCCCGATAATATACAATATTTTTTTTGGCTTTTACCTATCGACGAGGCTTTTGAAAAAGGCAAGAACTTTATTTGGGAAAATAAATATGGTCACTTTGAAGAGTCAAAACTGTTCTTGGCTTTGTTTTGTTCATAGTAGTAATGCTCATGTCATTTGCTCACTACTAGTCTTTTTTTTACCACCAGGTGTGCAAAAACATTTAATATATATATATATATATATTATATTATTATCGGTTATCGGTATCGGTCTTGAGAAGCAGGAAGTTATCGGTATCGGTATCGGTTTCAAAAACCCAATATCGTGCATCTCTAATTAAAATCATTAAAACGGAAAGAAAGTGAAGGAGGTTGACCATCACTTCAGCTTTGATGAGTTCATTCTATGTCATATCTTTTGTTGATCTTCTGTGTTTTGCCTACAGCAGGCTATTGCTCTGCTGGATCGATTGATATTGTGACCTCGGTGATGAGTGTCTGTGTTTTTCTTATACCCGGACCGCCCCCCCTCTCTCTCTATCGGAACCATGGATAGCCTACAGCTATTTGTTTACGTGTTTAAAAAAGCACCAGAAGCTTCTAAGTTGTTCGTGCCCCACCACTTTTGTACATATAAAAACGCCACTGATAATAATAATAGACAATAGTCCTTTTGTGTAAAGCAATCATATTTGTATACTTCTACAAAATCTTAAAAAGATATCCCTTTAAGGAACATTTAAAACTTAAACGCGAGTTGACTATGGAAATGAGCAAATAAGGAAGATTATGTTTTGTAATTGATTGACTGCCCTATTGTGAACACATTTGATGTTGACACTGATCATAAGTGTATACTCAGAAAGCACGGTAAAGGAGAGGAGCTCCGTGTTACAAACGGGGTCGGATAGTTTGCTGACATCGCAGCAGACCCCCTCAACCGCTCCGTGCAGCAGCGAGGTGCGAGTGAGGGGAGAACAGGGAACAAGCCCATTATACCCGACCCGTGCAAATTTGCTTCAACAACCCAAAATATTTCCATTAGGATAGTCACGCTGTACTTACAAAAATATAAATATAAAAACATGAATGTGCACATGCAAATGAGGAACCATCTTCACTAACTTGACAAAGCATGCGCAGCATTTAGGAAACCTTCACCAACTTACGAAAAATGCGCAGCTTTTAATAAAAGTATTTAACGAAACACTGCAAATAAAAAGAACACTCAATAAGCTCAAAACAAAAACAGAAACCAGGGGACATTTTACTTTATAATACTCAAACGAGTGCTCCGGTCCCAGCTGTGTGCATTGTCCCCGTTTCCGTTGTGTTTTGAACTTCTTGCAGTGTTCTTTATTTGCAGCATTTAGTTTATGTAGCAATTGTATTAAATGCATTGCATGTTCCATCAAGTTGGTGAAGATGTTTCTTTATTTCCATGTGTTTTGGCACATTTGTGATTGTTTTTTTTAAAGTGCAGCGCGTTACTCCTTATTGGAAGTTGTTTGGCCCGTTGTAGCACGTTGGCACAGGTCGGCCACTGTAGCGGAGTACACATTTTAAAGACATTTTATTTACAACACGTGAGCCTAATGATGAAGGAGAGATTGTCTATGTGCCGAGGCTGAGACCCAGACAGCCCTGGCCCAATTTAACCCCTGCTTATGCAGATTGCCAAAATATAGGCAAGGCAAGTTTATTTATATAGCACTTTTCAACACAAGGCAATTCAAAGTGCTTTACAAAAAATGAAAGAGATTAAGAAAATGGCATTTAAAATCAGTCATTAAAAAGAAAAGCTAATAAAATAAACATTAAAAGAAAAAATACATGGATACAAGTTACAGTGCAATTAAACATTAAAAGAAAAAGTACATGGATAAAAGTTACAGTGCAGTCTAAGATATGAATAGTTCAATTAAAAGCAGCGACAAAAAGAAAAGTCTTCAGCCTGGATTTAAAAGTAGTCAGACTTGCAGCGGACCTGCAGGTTTCTGGGAGTTTGTTCCAGATATTTGGAGCATAATAACTGAACGCTGCTTTACCATGTTTAGTTCTGACTCTGGGGACAGAAAGCTGACCAGTCCCTGAAGACCTGAGAGATCTGGATGGTTCATCATTTAGCAGGAGGTCAGAAATGTATTTTGGGCCTAAACCATTCAGTGCTTTATAAACCAGCAGCAGTATTTTGAAATCTATTCTTTGACACACAGGAAGCCAGTGTAAAGACTTCAGAACTGGAGTGATGTGATCCACTTTCTTAGTGTCAGTGAGGACTCGAGCAGCGGCGTTCTGAATTAGCTGCAGCTTCCTAATAGATTTTTTAGTGAGACCTGTGAAGACACCATTGCAGTAGTCGAGTCTACTGAAGATAAAAGCATGGACAAGTTTTTCCAAATCCTGCTGTGACATTAGTCTTTTAATCCTAGATATATTCTTTAGGTGATAGTAGGCTGATTTAGTAACTGTTTTAATGTGACTGTTGAAACTCAGGTCAGAGTCCATGACTACACCTAGATTTCTGGCTTTATCTGTTGTTTTGAACATTGCACACTGAAGCTCAGCGCTAACTTTTATACGTTCTGCCTTGGCTCCAAAAACCATTACCTCAGTTTTATCTTTGTTTAATATAGACAGCTTTAGGGACATTGTGTCCTGAACTGAGTCTCGAGCTGCGAGAGTGGAGATGGTTTGGCTTGGAAACCAACTGTAGATCCAGGGTCGGCGTCATGGGGGGTCATTCGCGGGCCATGCCCCCCCAAATGAGTCACTGTGCCCCCCCAACACGTGGGCAAGCCTTGCCACTTTGCCGTTTTTTTTTTTTAATCATATAAGTGAAAATGTTTCCACTAACGTTGTCCACACTACAGCTTCAAAAAAAGCTTGGAGCTGGGCGTGTCTGAAGCTTGGGGATTTTATTCGAGCAACGCGACCAACAACCAATCACATGAATCTCCCGCCCCCGACATACAAAGCAAAAAAAAACCGGGGATTTTATGCGAGCAATATATATATATATAAACTCAGTTTTAAACCAGTTTCACCCACTGTCTCTGCCACCTCCCTCCATGACTGGTTCTTCCGGTTTGTATCCCGGTAGGTGAAGAGGGTCTGGTCATACAAAACCGGGTGATTTGCTACGGCGATAATTAGTTTCTCCTCCATCTTTTTTTGAAATATAGAAATGAACGTCGGGATATCTCTCCCAGCTTAGACGCGGTTTGATTGGCTAGGGCTTGAGCTGTCAGATTTTCAGAAACGGGATTTGATTGGCTGGCGCTGACTACTCCGGCGTCAGAAGTTGAACATGTGTTCAACTTCTGACGCCGGAGACGGACCGCTATGCTACTCACAATTTAGTTCGGTGAAAAGCGAGGCAACGTGACGTTACCCCATTCAAAGTGAATGGGCAGACGCGTTGGAAACCGTTTTTGAAGCTGTCGATGCTGTAGTGTGGACGGCCCGTAAAGGTTTTTTGTGTGAAATACATCAGAAATAAAGAATACAAATATAAAACACAGCCTGAGGTGTGCTCACTGCTGCTCTCTGATTGTTGTGTTGCTTGACCAATGACCCTCGACCTTTGTTTTGTTATCATTACGTGGCTGTGTGTTTAGATGAAAGCCCAGTGGCGATCTGTTAAACTGATTATACAGTAAAGCCATCGAAAATAATATGATATACAGTACAGTACAAGTAGCCTACTTCTGGGTCTCTGTGTTTCATTCAAGCTCGGCTCTGTGTGTGTCTATGGCTCGAGCGCATTTTGTGAGTGCGCGAGCGGTAACGTGGAATGTTGTAACTAGCATCTGGTTAGCTGGCTGTGCTAACGGATATAAAGAGCTGTTTCTACACCAAGGTGGAGGAGAGTCCTCTCCTGTCAGACTGAGAGGATCTTATAACGTCAGCTTAGTGAGGTAAGGACTCTCTCAGTGTTTAGATAGTTAACTTTAGTGTAAGTTATCTCAGTGGGTCTCAAACGGTTTGGTCACCATTTATGTAAACAAGTATTTGCGAGGAACACCTTTATATGATCATTATAGTTATTAAAAAATAAGAGAATAAATGAAAAACGGGTATGAAATACTATAGGACAGTAACACAAGAATACAGTTTAAAAGGGGAGTGATTAGTAAAATATCCATAAAGAAAAAGTAAATCTGTGTACAGTTCTGTGTCATATGGATGCTGAGAGATAGGCTATCCATAGATCTCTTCATTTTGCTCTCAAAGTGCACCAGATTGATGCATTTAACTTCAATAGACCCTCCTAGAGGAGGTTAGGTCCACCCCCACCTAAAACAGGTTCACATGAATAGGATACTAAATACATTTGCACACTTTTATATGGTGGCCTATGTCCATATGTTTCTGTTTTGGTGGTCGTGCCACAACCGTGCATGTATGCACAAGTCATAGGTGCGCTATAAAATAGCGCAACACCCTGCAATGCGTGTGAAAAACAATAGACTTTACAGCTGAAGTTGCGTTGGTCTTTGTGTGTTGGTTGTTGACGGCAGTGTGTGCCCCCCCTTGGTAAATAATTGCCCCCCCATTCGATTTGTTCTAGAGCCGACCCTGTGTAGATCCCATGTTTATATTTGGTTTGTCACTTTACTTCATCTATATTTGGATTCAAGAATATGTTTGCAAAAGATTATCATTCATACTTCATGCTGTAGCCTCAAGTCCTATAACAGGAGTCTGCTTTTAAGCCAGGAACAGAAGAGAGGAAGGCGTACACAACCAGCATGTTGCCAGCTGCTTGATTCAACATTAATGGAGAAAGAGAAAGCATGGGGAAGACAAATAGTGAGGCAGAGAAATGTGTGTTTGTCTTAGCAAGTAGATTTCAATATAAGCCTGCAATTTCTATCCAGATAAAACCAAGACAATAAAAAGAGTGTTTGGTGAAAATACATCGGGGGGAAAACGTACCGCATGGAGTGGATTGCCCTGATCGATCGGCACCTTGAAGTCGGCCTGGAGCTCATCAAAGGCTGTGATCTGGAAAGAAGAGCGGAGAAGAAGTGAGGACTTTATAATCAGTACAAATAAAGAGACAACGTGGAATGTCGAAGCACATCATCATGCCTCCTGCTTAACGACACTGTCATTATTTGGTGCGCCACCTGGATCAATCTTTCTTCATATATGTTCACATTATCATTTTTCTGTATTGTAATTGTATGAAGTTGTTTATTCTCTACACACGCACAAATATCCGTCCTTGGAGATATATCTCTTCTCAACCTTTAATTGTCTTCAGGGGGTGGAGGTTCTCTTTGGGTGTCGTATGCTGTAAATATTGTAAAGTCCCGTGAGGCAAATTTGTGATATTCGGCTGTATAAATACAATTTGATTTATGTCTCCCAACCAGCAATCCACCAATCAGAATGCAGGGTGTTATTTACACACAGAATCGAGATGATCCATACCTCTATGTTATCATAGCATATTTAAAGTGAAACAACACCACCACAAGTGCAATTATCCCTATTATCCCTTGTTTTAGCCCTCCTTTGTTCAAAAACTAAAACATAAATGAGCCACTTCATTGTTTTAAATACATATATTACCAGGATGACAGGTTTTTTTCAATACTTTAACAAAATGGCTAGTGTTTATGTTGAGATAATACGACACAAATAATACACTATTTATTGTCAATATCTGTTTTATTTATTCAACAGCCATAAGTTGATACAATACAAAGATCTACCAAAAATTACTTCATTATATTTTATTAAAATGTAATTAAGCAATAAAAAAGTCAACAGCATGCTAGTAGCTGCATGTGGCTGTTTTCATGACCATTCACCATGTACCCTTTTTCTAATTAGTACATCGGACAGACGCTGACCATGAGAGCATTTCTTCTTGCAGTTCCATGCAATTTGAAAATGATTCAAAAAATATTTGTAACCCTTTTTTAAAGATTTCAATCTTTGAGAAGGTATGTGAAGAAGCACTGAGAGAGGTGCTAACTCGTTTTGTTTCTTTGGAATGTAATGTAATGAGTTGTTGACAAAAAGACAGCCACATTTGGATTTTCTTCACATTCCAGTTCTCTTTATCACTTGTTTCCTCTAACCTGTTGTTCTGTGACTTCAGGTTCAACATGTGTCACGCCTTCACTACTGCAGCTCCCTCCAGGCTGGTCTACCTGCAAGTGCCATCCGACCTCGCTCTCCCAGGATGCAGCAGCACGACTGGCTTTAACGTTTTTTCACCCTCACCCACTGCCTACCATTCGCTGCCCAAATCCACTTCAAGTCACTGGTCCTGGCCTACCTGTAAATGGATCAGGCCCTTTCTATATCCAGGACATGGTTAAACCTTACAGTGCAGCACGTGCACTCATCAGCCAATTGGCCGAACACAAAATTGATACCAAGCTCCCATTTATCAGGGCAGCAAAAAGTCTACACATCTTCCATTTGGAAACCCACCTGTTGTACTTGACTATTAAACTCAACACACCCCCCCGAAAAAAAAAGCACCCAAAGAGTTAAGCCCATTTGAAACAGCACTTACAAAGATTTGGCTTATTTGAAGCAGTATATAGGCACAATTTTAAGTTCACAATGCGATTTTCTCACGATTTTTTTTTTTTTTTATATATATATATATATATATATATATATATTTTACAAATCCCTTCAAATAAATAAAAATAAAGTGCAGCTTGAACTGTATGTATAAGAGACTAGATATATGGATACAGCTCTCAACACGGAGGCGTGTGGTGCAGTGGTTTGTGCGTTGGTGTTCGGATCAAGGGGTCACAGGTTCAAACCCCACTGCAGTCAGCATGTCGTTGTGTCCCTGGGCAAGACGCTTCACCCAAAATTGCTCCTGTGGGGATTGCCCACAGTACAGAGTATGTAAGTCCCTTTGGTTAAAAGCGTCTAACAAGTGACATGTCATGTAATGTAATGTAACACTCTCAAACAGAGGTGGGGTCAAGTTCAAGTCAAGTCCTAAACTTTGACAAAACGAGTTTTAAACAAGTCATTATGTGCTTTTCACCAAATGTAATGACATAGATCAACAGAATAATACTTAATAATCAAACCGCTCTTTATTAGTCACATTAATAATGTAATAATCAATTTTCTCTCTGCTGGTAAAGTAACGTGTTTTCTTCTATTTTAAGAGGGATCAGTAAGGTAAGGCTACTGTGACGGTTTGATTCAGAAGGGGTTTAATGTATAAGATCCCTGATGTTGAGGTAACCAGAATGTTTATTTCCACTGTGTACAACATGTTATAAGGGACCTACAATCTATCTTTATGCAAGGGATAATGTGCAGTGAGGCGGTCTCTATGGGGAAGAGAACACCTGCATCTAGATCCCTCTGCAGGTGATACTTTAACTATATTTTGATGATAATACTTTTGTACTTTACTAACCCTAACCCTAACCCTTTACTCAAGTACAAGATCTGAACTTCTCCCACCTCTGACAATAAATCCTGGTTACCAAAAGAAAACCCTGCTCTGAAGGTTATTTTCATTTTACAAATCCTGCACTCAACTTTGCTTTCTCCAATATCATTGAAAAGCAGCCAGATGCTGCTTCTTTTTTCGGTTTTCGCTAATTTCTTGACTTTTTCCGACGCGCTTTCATTTAAATCCGGCTCCCCGTCGCTCTGTGTAGCTGGCCTGTACCACGACACATGCTGTCTTTGGAGCATCTGCCCCCCACCCTTCTTTCACATAATGGTATGATCCTAGTGTGTCCTCGCATGGTGGCCCAGCTAAATAAAGACCCGCCCCTGCCTGCATGGATTCACAGCAAGAGTAGGAGCGGCTGAAGATTCTGTTCTCCCCAACGGGAGTCTTCTCTTCTAGCGGACATCTCGCGATCGCCGTGTTGGAGACCTCTGAATTAAATGATCAAGTCACCTCAAGTCAGAAGGCTCAAGTCCAAGTCAAGTCCCGAGTCATTGGCGTTCAAGTCGCAAGTGTTTTGTGATTTTGTCAAGTCGAGTCCAAAGTCATCAAATTGGTGACTCGAGTCTGACTCGAGTCCAAGTCATGTGACTCGAGTCCACACCTCTGCTCTCAAGTGACAATTTAATTAAAAAACATAAACAGTATTTGCTTTTATAAGGTAATGAACAGTTTAATCTCCTATATACATCCGGGTCTCAGATTTGATTTAGTTCCAATGAATCGTAATATTCTAACCTTTTTTTTTAAGGGGGGCCACAGGGGGGTCCCTGGTCAGTGTTACGGGGGCACTGGCCCCTGTTGGCCCCCCCAAGAACTGCCCCTGCAAGTCTCGCTCGCACATGCACACAGAGCCGAGATTGAATGAAACACAGAGACCCAAAAGTACTTGTACTGTATCATATTATTTTCGATGGCTTTATTGTATGATCAGTATAGATCGGGCTTTCAACTAAAGACACAGCCACGCAAACACTGCAGCATTGTGGCATGTGTACAGCTCCTTATGGGTAGTGCAATGTTTGAAGTGCCGGAGCAGCGTTCCGGTGCTCTCCAGCAGCACTACACGGCATCACGGATGTCCGTGTTATCCAGTGTGTCGATTTCACGGGCATTTCGTCGGACGTCTGCACTGAGGAGAGCAGCTGCCATGGCAAGTTGTTGTTCTAGATAGTGTTCAATCATGTCCAGACTGCTGTTCCAGCAAATAAAATCAAAATGAGTTCACTCCCTTAGCCGTTAAAAAATTGCATCGCGATTAATTTTTTAGCTCAACTGATTTTAATCTTAACGCATCTGTACCGATTTTTTACCGATTCACGATGCATCGTTACATCCCTACCAGTATACCTGCATTTTTTGTTGTTCTGAGTTTGTACACTCTAAAAAACGATTCATGGGGATAGTAGATTCCACTTAAAAATATATACTTTTTCAACATAACATTTTTAGTTTTTTACCTCAACCTATTTGAGTTAGTTTACAACTCATTTGAATAAGTCAGTCAAACTGAAAAAGAACAAAATAAATGTAACTTACAAATGTAATGATTTTGAAAAAAAATTCTGCATGAACTCAACTATAGGGATATACTAACTTAGAGTAACTTATATCTATTGAGTTTCATCGGTATAGTTTCAAAACTGAACACACGCTTGGACTTTCCCAGACTTTGCTTGACCGCATGTTGAGTTGGAGCAATCTGCATTCATCCTGGAAGTGGAACACTTGATAGCAGTGGAACAACAGGATTTTAACCTAATAATCTATCAAGTTACCTGGTAAGTAGCAATTTTTGTTCAGCTTCATTTACAACAGCTGCTTACTGCATATACAGTGTAACACAAGCTCTAAGGTACATTAGCGACTTGTTTTAAGCTACTGTAGCATGCATAGCATACTGATTAGCTAGCTGTTTGTATCCTCCTGTATCCTTTGTTTCACAGATGCAGTCAAAGTTCTTTATTTGTAATACAGTGTGTATAGATATATTTATATTAAAGCAAATTATGTTTGTAGTACTGAACTAATTGAGGTAATCAGATTATAAATGGCTACTCGGATTAACTTAATGATCGATTAAATTGGAAATACTTAAAAAGATCAACGCAAATTGTTACCTCAATTTATTTAGTAGAGCCGGTGTATTTTTTTTTTTAGTGTATCTTTCTGGTTTATTGCACTTATTGTCAGTTGCTTTGGATGAAAATGTGTCAGCTTAATAAAAAGGGCAAAACAGCCCTTTACATACGTATAGCTGTATCTAAGTTTCCCATGTATACAGTATCAGCTTTTCATCCTCCTCATCATTAACATCTGCTCCAATTAAAATGCTGCATCAAATCTGCCCAGATGCACAACATTTACACGCAAGAAATCAAAACATCTTGAATTGGCTTCATTTGATCCTGCCGCCCACTCACGTCTGCACTAAAGGAAGTAATAACCAGAACAAGTAATGATGAACAGCAGATAAAACACGCAACAGTTCCATCGGTGCTGCAATAAAGGCAATAGCACTACAAAAGCACAAGACAAATGTCATTGC